AAAGGTTTCACACACACACACACATACACCCTATATACAGCTTTGGGTAGTGCTCATCCGTGAAGTCGGAGACGCACTAGTGAATTCCATACACTCACACACACCGAGAGATAACAGGAGAATTGCCAGACTTCCTACATGCCAACACCCAGACACCAACGAGAGATCGTGGAAAGATCATCCAGAAGACAATGATGGCAGATTTGGCAAGAGAAAAATCACCACATGAACAGCAAAACAAGGTGTAACATGCTCCGCAGTGTATGGCTGACTCATGGAAGGCCGTCATAGAACAGGACCCGCACACAAAGGTTCAGGGGCTAAAGCAGGTTTGAAGGCTTTTCACAGAGCGCAAACGTGGGATACTCCCCAAAATTAACACCTGTCTTGTATTTGGAATGACAAGACTAGGTAGTTTCCCGAAAGAAGGGGACCCCAATATGAACCCCAGTATACTATAATCCTTATCCTACGGAAGCCCCAAGAGGTACCCTTAATGTTGGGATAACCTTACTAGCACCTTCTGTTGGAAACTACCTCGCGCGCATGTCAGGGTTTGGCTTGGTTGTTGTGAAGGCTTGCTAGTATCTTACTGGTGCCCCTAAACCCTAAACCCTAAACCCAAGTATCTTACGGGTGCTGAAGGGGGAGTGGGTAGTGGAATGTACACACCATTACAGGGGATATTGCAGGCTTTGTGATTCTCTGAAGCGTTCACTCCCGCACTCCCGTAAATCCATTAGTTAAGCCCGATACAGCAGTATTATAGAACCCCAGTTTAAATTTCCCTCCCAAAGCCCAAAGCTCTGAGCACAAGTAAGTCATGGACCCTAAACCCTAAACCCTAAACCCCTAAACCCCTAGATCCTAAACCCCTAAACCCTAAACCCTAAATCCCATGTGTTTCCCGAATTGCAGGGACATTGCTTCGACACTTCTTGCGCGTTTCACTTGACGGTGGTTTCTTCCCTAGGCCCTCCAACTACCCTATCAAGGCCTACGAGCCCACTATCAGGGGCAGGCTCTATAACCCCAGATAAGGGTTCTGGGAGGGTCTTGGATTGCAACAGTATGCCACACAGAGACATGAAGATACCCCGAAACCCTACTTGGAGGTCTAGCAAGTAGGTTTACAATCGGGAGAAAACCCTAAGCACCACACCCGAAATCCCAAACCCTAGACCCTGATTGTGGTAGTTTCCCAACATAGGGGGACCCCAATGTAGACACCCAAATACTATAATCCTGAGTACAGGGACCCGCACAAGGAAGCCCTAATTTTGGCAACCCCCCACATAATAAGCACCCATGGACCTCCAAATTTGCTAAGCCAAACCCTCAAACCCTAAACCCTACACCCTAAAACCCCAATACCCCCAACCCAAAACCACAAAAACCACAAAAACCAAAAAATCCAAAACCACTAAACCCCCCAAACCCCCAAATCCAAAACCCCAAACCCAATATATACCCCATATAATTCCTATAATCCCTGTAGTGTCCATTTTTCCATTATCCCTATATAACCCCAATATGTACCCTATATTCACCATTTTCTCGGCTGTAGCTCACCTGGCCTGCTGCTGAAAGTTGCCGAAACTGGAGCCTTCAGCAGGCGTCTCCTGGCATCTTGTAAGCTTAGGCTTAGGGATTTGGGATTTGGGATTTAGGGTTTAGTGGTCAGGGTTTAGGATTTAGGGTTTGAGATTTAGGGCTTAGAGTTTGGGGTTTCGGAGCGTTGGGTTTGGGGTTGTATGAGCTGTAGCCTAAACTTCTTCAAGGGGCTATATAAGGTTTGAGGCTTGGGGTTTGGGGTCTAAACTCCTTGAAAGAGATTGTATAGGCTTTAGGGTCTAGGATTTAGGGTTTAGGGTCTAAACTCCTTCAAGGGGATGATACAGGGCTTAGGGTTTAGGGTCCCAACTCCTCAAAGGGAGACTATATAGGGGATAAAATTGGGGATTACTATAGGGGATATGAAGGGGGATACCGGGAGTTCAGACTATGGCTCATATAGGGGTTCTATAGGGATAATGGTAAAGGAAGATTGAAACTACGATCCGGGGTTTGGGTTTGGAGTTTGATTTAGAGTTTGGGGCCTAGAGTTTGGGGTTGCGGGCTTAGGGTTTAAGATTTAAAGCTTTGGGTTGAGGGTTGAGGGTTTCAGGCTAGGATGCTAGGGCTTGGTGTTGGGGTTCATCTCTGTGTGTAGAGACCATTTGTTGCAGACACACAAGCTCAGCGCAGCAAATGCGCATAGTATTCAGCAACACCCCAACTACAAGGCCCCCACTTCCGCATAGACTCTTCCATGTCCATGGAATCCTACGAAGGCCTACGCCCGAAACCCTAAATCCTAAACCCTACTATGATCGAGCGTGGCAACAACTTGCATGCTTTGCTAGAAGCACACCTCCATGTGCGTAGGATTGCTTCAAACTCTCGAACTGCAAGCCCTGGAGTCCCCAACTCAAAAACTGAACCCCAACACCCTAGACCTTGGGTACTGCCCCCACCCAGTAACAGTCTATATTGGGGTCCTATTAAGGGCTATATATAACTATATAATAAATATTATCCAACTGTTACTGAGTGGAGGCAGTACCCAACCTAGGCCCTAACTCCTGAACCCTAAATCCCAAACCCTAGGCCCTGAACCCTGAACCCTAAATCCTAAGCCCTAAGCACTTGAAGCATGCTGAGCGGCCATCGCGGTAATCAAGGAAGGGTCTGACTGTATGAGCCGGAAGACCTCCAAAGCTCGAGAAAATAGGGTCCCTTAGGGTTTCTGGTCCGAGGATCCAAATATGCATTCCCCTAAACCCTAAGCCCTGAAACCTTAAACCCTAAAACCCTCCGAAAGCCCTATATGTCCCTATAAATATAAATAGAATATATATATATATGAATATATATATATATGTATCCCTATAGAGCCCCTATCCTCTTGGGCTTGGGTACCTTCTTTCAAGGTTTCTTCTTGCTTGGCAACCCTTCGGACGCTTACGCCTGCCCACAAGGCACAGGATCTTGATTTCATAAGCCTCCCTTTTAAATCTAAAACCCTAAAACCCTAAACTCGATTGGATTAGGCTTTAATTAAGGTTCAGGGGCTTAGGGTGTTGAGTTTGGGTTTGATGGCGTTGCTTTTCGGGTTTGGTTTGAGCACTTTACCCAGAGTTACGCAAACAACTGCAAAGATTCGGGGCTCCTGTGCAGGATCTCCGTGTGAAGGATCTGCGCGGATCATGTGGAGGCATACGAGGTTTAGGGTTTAGGCTTAGGGTAGAAATCTGAGTGATTAGGAATATCTTGCCCAGATAGAGGCATGGCAGAATCATTGCACAATATGCACCGAAATTTGAGTGTAACCGTGTAGGCCCCAACATTAGTGAACAATCATTCGTGATCTAAGGCCTCGGGTCCAAGTAGCATGCATGCAAGCGATGATGAAAGCATACCGATAGACTCAAGCCTACAAATTGGAACCTCGTCGATCCAGCGTTGGGAAGATCGCGCAGACTCGAAGCGGACTCAAGCCATAGAGAAGAACCAGCAACAGCAAAACAAGCACATTGGTAAGGAGGTAAGGACTTGCGCAATACGCGCAGAGCAGCAAGCGAGAACATGGAAGCGATGACAATGATGTACAACGCCTCTCACTGGGCTGAGGCTTTCATGGCAGCAGACACTTGCCAGGTGCTAAATGGCAGGTTCCCAAAATCAGGGCATTCCAATATAGACTCAAAATACTATAGTCCTTACTATTGCCCACCGCCCCCCCGCTATGGGAAGTCAGCATATACCGCTATCAAATATTGGAAGTGATTTACTTGAGGCAACCAAAACCACAAGTGGCTTTTGAGGGGAAGCATGTTTTCGAGGCATGACAGTATCGGCAAAAGGTGAACAATCACACAAAAAGACGCATGCATGATGGGGTTTAGGGTGTTGAGTCTTCAGGGTTTAGTGCGGTTTCCAAATATGGGGGGTGCCTCTTCCAGAACCTTCTGTAATGTGGGTGGAGGTGTATGACTTTTGAACATTCCCAGAACCTAGACCCTTCAAGGGAACAAAACTGCCACAGGGGCTGGCTGGCTGTCATGGGAGCCAGGACCCACTTCGTTTGCATAAGGGCCCTCTCCCCCCTCGAACCCTGAACCCTAAACCCCTAAACCCTAAACCCTGTGGATGTCAACCTAAAGAGGGGGGATTCCTAAAGGGGGGCTGGTAATCATTGGCATGAGGTAGCTATATGGCGCTTTCTCAAATTGGAAGTCACAAGTGATTGGCAGGATAAGCCCTAAACCCGAAACTTTCTGCTCCGAATGTATTATCAGGAGTCCCCCTTAAGGGTGCGTGGGACCCGTTTTGAGAAAATCCCATATGGCAACAGACAGGCCGACACTTGATAACTAGGCAGACCCAATAAAGCTGATACGGAAGCCCATGAAAAACATGGTAGGATTTCAATGTATGGTCACCCTGAATGGACACCAAAAACACAGACTCCCCCATATATTCTTGCAGAGCGCTTCATACACTTCCCGAATCCTAAACCCTCAACCCTATACCCCCCAAAATACCTCATATGGTAGTTTCCCTAAATTACTGTTCCCAAAACGGGGGAAATTTATATAGGGCCCCGTATTATAATGGGAACCCAAATATAGGACCCATAGGGAATTGAGACCAATCCTCATATACTTTGCGGGCTTGCCTGGAGCGTAGCCGCAACCACGGCCACAAGTGGGCCATGGAGGGATGCGATCCCTTGGGACTACGGTACTAAACATTCCGCATGACCTTAAGTACCTAATACCTTGGGCATGATCGTGTTATAAGGTCATGCATGATTTTCGTAGCAACAGTAGTGTCCTCTTCCTGGAGCATGTGATCTGTCAAACTGCCTTGACAACACCAGAAATTGTCTATGAATAGGTTCCCTTTTACCACAATAGGGGAGTGAACACTTGTCCCGAAGTGCCACCTAATAAAAGCTGTTGTTGCAGATTCGGCCCCCTGCTGCACGTGTAAGAAACCACCCTTGTAAGGTCCTTACCCGCGCTGACCTGTCTGCGAAGGAACCTGTTTTGATTGTGCTACTGCACCACCTTACCCTATAATCCTACCCGAGGAATTACAATATTACTGGTGCTACCACTCACAACCCCCATCTCCTAAACCCTAAACTATCCTAAACTCCTTTGGATAGTTTCCATATATACGGGGAACCCAAAAAATCGACCCCAATATACTATAGTCCTTATTCTAGGGAACCCCCAGAATTATACCCGTAATTTTCGGAAACCCTACTCCCTATCATTGACTATGTTATACCGGTTTCCATTTCGTTTTCCATGTGATTCTCCATTATCAGCCCCTAGTTTTGGGGACCCCGGGACCCACCCCCCCATATGAGCCATAGTCTAGACTCCTAGTATCCCCTTTCATATCCCCTAAAGTAATCCCATATATAATCCCCTATATAACCCCCCTTGAAGGAGTTTGGACTGTAGCTCATATGTGTCGAAACAAAGCATAGAATCAAACCTTGGGGGCTCCCAACCTTAGTCTGTTGACCTCCCAAATACCCATACTAAGGGTTCGAGTCCCCCTTAAGTAGGTAGAATCTGGGGTGCATGGGGATCTTATTGTAAAATTCCCAAAGCCATATTCTATCTACTTAAGTGGGACTATAAGACAATAACTTACTGTAACAGGGAATGCCCTAACTCATAAGGGGTTTAGGGTTTAGGGGTGTAGGGCTTAGGGGGCCTTGAGCCGCCCCAGAAGTCTTGATATCTGAAAAAACCTTAGTACGCAGGCCGTACTTCTGGGTGTTTGGGAGGTCCTGGTAAGCAAAGTTGTGCTGTGCGTCTTTCGTTCGGCACCACGTTTTTGTCCTTCGGCGTGATCTTGACGGTGATGCCTGCGAACCAATCTTTGCTGAGTACTTAGAAGCTATTGATGAAATAGGGCCCCGTTAAAGAAGGGGAAGCTACTAATACCACATATGTAATCATATATGATATATGTATGTTACATCCCGCGGTCTTTACAAATTCATCACACTCCTGAGCACGTGCAGCCTTAGCTGACTCGTAGAAATAGTCCCCCTTAAGTAGATAGAACATAGGGTATATGGGGATCTTATTATAATATGCCCAAAGCCATATTCTATCTACTTAAGGGGGGACTATAAAGCCCAAAGCCCAAACCCTAAACCCTAAATAGTAGTTTCCAGGCGTTTCAGTGTCAAGAGGGTCGGTAGTTTCCTGATACAGGTCCCGCACACCTTTGCGCTGAGGACCCTAAGCGCGGCATCACTGCCCGCGAGGTTCATTTTTGGAGCTGCTCCCTGTTTACAACCACTGCACTTAGCTGGGCTGGCTGTTTCGGGACTCACTGTAGTTATCAGTGCATGAGCAAGCTGCGATTTCTTTACCTCAGCTTCGTAGTGTACTTTGTCATTGACCAGCACATCTTCGAGGCAAGCACTTGCAGACAGTACAGTGCTGCAACAGAATTTCTTAAAAGTAACGGAGTTTACAGTGAAAGAGCCGAGCTGGCATCGCAGAGCCAGACGATCCAGATCAAGAGCGAGGCAAGTTTTGCGAAGTTTCTTGACAGAACAGCATACGGCATCAGGCACAGTTTACAACGCAATAGACGTACTCAGCGGACACCATTCGAAGTCAGTCCTTCCAGAGCAAGCCTTACGCAAACTGGAGGGCGCGCAGTTAGGGCAGGAAGTTACAAAGTGCAACATGTCAACACAGTACGAAGCCTGGTACTGCCATTGGTGTCGCAGAACCAACAGCCCCAAAGTGGCGTTTTGTCCAGGATGCGGATATACCTGGCAGGACATTATTGGGGATGGAGCCAGCTATGTCGGAGCAAGGCAGAAAAGCTCACCATGGGAACGGGGCGAGTTTTCCCCGAGATGCAGAACGCAGTCACCAAGGCGTGCTTGGGTAGAAGATGGCAATTGGAGTGGCAAAGCAAGCGGTTAGAGGCCAATACCGACACCACCTCCAATTCCACCCAATCACAGCAAAGGAAAAGGAAAGCAAGGGCAACTTGCATCACCTTCAGTAGGAAGCAGTTCTGCGGAGATGCAACTGTCAAGTTTGGTGTCGGCTTTGGCGGAGCATCAAGAAGCGCTGCCACCAAAACTCCGCGAACTGGTGCATTCTCATCAAGGTCAAAATGCCACCGCGCAGGCAAAAGCTTTGCACAAGAATGTGGCAGCCCAAGCATCAGCAGCCAAGCAACTTGCTGGGCTAAGAGAAAGGCGATCCAAATATTTGATAGAATGGCAGAGCTACGTAAAGAAGCTTGGAGATACTTTGAAACAGCAGTTGGAGGAAAAAGCAACCATCTTGGCTGGTTTAGATGCGGAAGAAGATGTACTCCAAGAAGCTCTGGAAACAGCCAAAGCTGCAGTCCTTTCGCTTGCCAGGGAAGAAGCCCCAGCAGAGACAGAAGCAATGGATGCGGAGCTTACCGAGGACAACATGCAAGAGACCAGACAAAGACTTCTCCTGCAGGAAGAAGCGCTGCAAAAATCAGTTGCACTGATGCAGCAGGATGCCGTGCAGGAAAGGCAGAGAGAAGGATCAAGGACGCCAAGACGCAACCAGAAGCAACCAGATGGAGAAGACCTAGAAGACTCTACCAAGCAGTCTTTTGGGGCGGCCCACTCATGAGCCACTCGTGTCTGAGTGGGCCGAAAGGCACGCACTCTGTCTTTTCAGAGTCGGATTTTGTAGCCCCATACTTCGCGGAAATGTTAGGGCAGCAGATGCAGCTGGCTGTGATTTTGGATGCCATAGGAATCACAGTCAAGATACATGACCCAAGGCTCTGCACTGAGCAAGGATGGTCATGTACAATGCCGCTGCTCCAGGATGTGCCAGAGCCTCATGCGGTGCTTGCTTCAGTTGAGGTTGGCGTGAGCGCAAGGGTTGACATGGACAGTACCAATCCTTTCGAGCCACATCGGTTCTCAGCTGTTGCAAACATTGCAGATGCTAAGTGCATATATTCTGCGAGTATGACGAAGAATGGGAAGGCCAGAAGCGACCAAAAGCTACCTGGCATAGGTAATGTTGCTCTGCTTATTGGGGGGTTATCGTATCGTAGGGATGCTAATTTGGAGAGGAAACCACACCGCCAAGTTAGCTTCAGCAATTTTGTGCAAACCGTTAGCCCACAAGAGGCTAAAGGGTTTGAAATTTTGAAGGAGGCAAGTGCCAGTGGCATGACTCAGTGCGCTGCGAGGCCTTGCGCTTCCTTGAAGGACACGTCTTACAGTCATCCTGAAAGGCACAGGAACGTGGCAGACATGCATGATATGGGTTCTCTTTGTCATGATAGTTACAGAGAGGACAGCGACTCGAAACCTAGCGGAATGTCGAAGGGCAAGGGCATGATTCTTGAGCTTGATCAGCTCATTCTCCCTGATTGTAGATACTCGGTGGGAGTGAGTTACAGTAAGCTTGAGTCTCTACAAGCTGGACACCTCATCCAACAGCTGTGCCAAGACGAGAGCATTTTACATGACATGCCTGAGACTGTCAAGCAGGACTTGCGGAGTTGTCTTGCGTATGACCCTTCCGTGCATGAGTTGACATCATTCATTGTGTACACTGATGGCACCTTTTTTGAGAACACATGCACTGGAGCGTGGGCTTTGGCAGTTTTTGGTGTGTGCAAAGAAGGAAAGTGTTGGCTCGGGATGGCGTCAGGACTTTGCAACGATCAGGGTCAAAATGAAACTGGAGGAGCCACTAGTGCTTTCGCGCCGGAGTGTGTGGCAAGTCTCCATGCACTAGTGCTTGCGTTGAATGAGTGTTGTTCCACATGCATTTGTTTTGATTGCACGAGCGCTGCTGACACTGCCAGACTTATTTCTGCCTCCAAACATCCGATTGCGCAGGCTGCGGCTTCTGTTTTACATATGGCGGGCATTCAGCATGTCAATGTTGAGTTTGAGCATGCTAAGGCACATTCTGGGATACCTGGAAATGAGTTGGTTGACAGGCTTGCAAAACGTGCGGCCAAAGGATCAGCGCACAACTTCCCAGGAGACTCGGTGCCGGAGATGTTGCTGGAGGGAATTGTTCCGTGGTTGTGGACGGCGTTGCCCAACATTTCAAAGATGAGTCAATGGCCCTACATGGACCCCAATGATGTTGCCTCTGTTGGGAGTCTTGCTGAAAAGACAAAGCAGCATACCGTCAAGCAGGATTTCTGTCATGAGCATGAGGTTGACACAAACATCCTGCCCTGCACTGATGAAGGTTTTGCTACGCTCAACATGTTGACTTATAATGCAATGTCGTTGAGGAGCATAGTCGACCAAGTTGCAGTTGAGAAGATGCTTGTGGCCAACAATGTTCACGTCGCAGGTTTCCAGGAAACTAGAGACATGAATCATGAAATCACGGACACGGCCCATTTTCGGCAAATTCATGCTGCCGGAAAAGATGGCAACTTCGGCTGCCAGCTGTGGATACGGAAGCAATCCCTTTGGCGCCTTGACACGATTGCTGTGCGTTGCCAAACTCCGAGACTGCTTTGTGTTATGGCCAATTTGGTTGCACATGCCCCGCACAGCAGGCAGAGTGATGAGTGCATTGATGAGTTTTGGGGGCATGTCAGGCAAGTTATTGGTAGTTGTGGTGAAGGTGTGCGCCCCATCATACTTGTTGATGCCAATGCCAGATTTGGTGGTAATCAAAGGCGTGTTCCCGAGAATCGAAATGCTTGCCAGCTTGAAATGTGTGTCAATGACTTTGCGTTGGCGTTGACCAGGCATGTTGATTGTCGGGGACGACAAGTGCAGACATGGGTTGGTTTTCATGAGAAGCCGGCAAAGTTGGACTACATTGCGTTGTCGGCAGAATTGGCTGCGTCGTTTATCACCCAAGGGATACCAGAACAGGCCGACATGTTGACTGAATGGGATCACAGACCTTTGTTAGCTTCTGTGCATCTGCCAGCTGGACGAGTCCCGCGGGATCAGAGGTTGAAGCTTGATCGGCGCGCCATGTCCAAGCCGCAAAATCAGCAAGTTGTGCAGCAAGTTTTCAAGGATGCGCCGCCTTGTCCTTGGTCTATGGACGTTGATGAGCATTTACGTGTTGTTCACAGACACTTGCAGCAGCAGCTTGCTACCGCCTTTCCCTTGAAGCCTGGTCGCATCAAGCAACCCTACATCAGTCACAAAACTTGGACTCTTGTTCGTGAACGGAATGCTTGTCGACAAGTCATTAGATACTTAAACCAAGCGTGGGCGAAGGAAGTGCTGCATTTCATGTTTCACGCTTGGAAAAGTTGTAGGTTGCCTAGTTTTGGATGGAATCCTAAAGGGCTTGGCGGTTTTGAGATGATGAGGGTTCCTGGTCCCCCAAATGGGCATGGAAAACGTATCCAAGCAGCAACGCATGGCAAAAAAATCGCTGCCATCAATGTGGACATGAAGTCTCAGCTGAAGCAAGACAAGGCTGAGTTTGTGAGAGCTGCTTTTGATGAAGCGAGATCCCAAGGGCCAGACAAGCTTGCTTCTTTAATCAGAGGTATCACTAAGCAAGGGCGTCGTTACAGGCCCATTCAAACGGCGCCAGTCTTGCAGCTGCCTGATGGAACATGGCAGGCCGATCCAGAAATCACTAAGGACATGCCTGGTGATCATTTCGCCAAGGCCGAACGAGCTGTCAAAATGACACAGCAGAGGGCTGACACTGAGCTCAATGTTGCTGCTGTGCCTCAACACGGCCAGGTAGAAGATTTAAAATCACTGCCAAGTGTCATCGAGCTGGCGGAGGCGTTTAGAGCCATGAAGAAAGGTACAGCGACAGGAGTCAGTGGCTTGCCTCCTGAAGCCTATCGGCAGGCCCCCATTGATGCCGCGACCGTTTACTTTCCCATTTTGTTAAAGATGGTGGTCGGCGGTAAGGCACCGCAGGCTTGGAGAGAAGTCCTTACTGTCCCAATTTCCAAACCAGGGAAGGTGCCAGGAACTGTTGGTGCTTGGAGGGCAATTGCGTTACAGGAAGCCGAAATGAAGGGCATTGCTGCTGCAGTCAGAGCTAAGCTCACGCGTTTCATCGAACCACTTTTTAGGCAGGGTCAGGGTGGGTCAACAACTGGTTCCACTCTTGACGTTCCACTCGCTGTGACTAAGTCTCATGTTCGCAAGCTGTGGCAAACTGGCAGAAGTGGAGCAATCCTGTACATAGACGGAGCCTCGGCTTTTTACGCTGCTGTAAGGGAATTCCTTTTTGATTCTCAGGCCAACCTCAATGACCAAGAAAGACTTGTGAAGCTGATTGAAGTCTTACATCCTTCTGAACAGATTAGACAGGAAATTTATGCTATCTTGATTGGCCCGTCAGTTCTGGAGCAAGCCGGAACGCCGTCCATACTGCGCAGGTTTGTTGCTGCGACGCTGTCAGGAACATACTTCAAGATGAGTGCGACAGGCAACACAGTGTGGGCAACACGCACAGGCGTCACGCCCGGTGCTCCCCTTGCAGATGCGTACTTCCAAGCTATATTCACACAAAGCCTCAAAGAGATGGAGCGTCGGTTGCGAAATGTTGATCATGGCCCTGGGGATAGTTTGGAACATGTTGGAGAGGAGCCTAACGCGGCGATTGTTACCTGGATTGACGATGCAGCGTTGCTCGCCGAAGTTGAGGATCCGGCGTGCCTTGTTGTGCGTGTGAGAGAGATGGTTGTGCATGCTCAAGCGGCGCTTGCTTACATTGGCGTTGACACCAATTTTGGCGCAAACAAGACGGAAGTCATGCTTGTCTACGTTGGAAAACAAGGCAAGCCGCATAAAGCCAAATGGCTTTCGCCGCAGCACCCAACGCTTGATGTTGAATTGGTTGATGGATCCGAAGTTCAAGTCGTGATTACTCCCCACTATCAACATGTTGGTGGCATTGTTGAATACACCGGCGAGGACACGTTAGATGTTGACAGAAAAGGCATGTTGGCTCGGAACGCTTTTTGTCCGTTGTACAAGAAACTCCTTTTCAATCCACACCTTACTTGTAATGAGAAACGTGCTTTGATCAAGTCGCTGGTTGGAAGAAAGTTGCTTCATGCTGCTGGGCATTGGGTGTTGAAGACGCAGAGAGAACTCCGCAAGTTTCAGGCTGCGTACATGAGACATTGGCGTAGTTGCGGCCGGCCCCTTTTAGGGATCTCGTTTGCAGGCGCAACAGACAAGGAAGTGTGCGCGATGCTTGGCGTGCTTGAACCGCTTGAGGCACTTGCTGTTGAAAGGGTTCGATCCATCATTCACGTTGTTAGAGATGGGCCTGGATACTTGTTGCATGTGTTGTCGACGGACGGTTGGTGGATGCCACAAGTTGCTTTGGACATTGAGTTGATTGTTGAGGGGTCACACGTTGATGTTGCCTTGCCCGGAAAAGTTCAGTGCAAGGACTGGACCCTTCTGCTTGGTTGTGTTGGAACACAAGTTGACGACCTCAAAAAAGCACTGAAAGTTCATCAGAGGCGAACCTTGCTTGCCAGAGCTGAGTTTGCAAGTGCTTGTCTTGTCAAAGCAAAACTGAGGATGCAAGCGCAAAATGTTGGCGTTGCCGTTTGTCACTTGCCACAAAGCGATATCCAGCCTCAATTTCCGTGTAAGCTGTGCGGCGAGTTGTTTCAAAATGCTGCAGCTGTTGGATCACATTTATCGAAGGTCCATGCGCAGGGATCCGCCATAGGGAGTATAGGCGGCACTTCTTGCGAGGTTTGCATGAAGGATTTCTTTTCTACGAAGCGCCTGCATCTCCACTTGCGGAAAGCGCAGACCTGCAAAAGAGTTTACCTTGAAAGTGACGTGGATGTTGATGGGCCCCGTGTGAAAGGGTCTGTTAGAGCCTGGCAGCCGGCGACCAGGGTCCAAGGACCTGCAAATTTTTGGGCACATCTGCGTCCTGTTGCTCGGGGTGAACGTGTTGAAGAGGGTCGAGGGCAGACGCACGTAAGGATTCTTCTAGCTTTGGCCCGGTCGTGCCCTTCTTCCAATGATGCTAGGAAAGTCGCTGTCTTCACTAAGAGTGTTTTAAAGGTTTCGCTTCTATCTTATCATGGTGTAGCTGCGAGCCTGATGACCTCCATGGTTGTGCAGACGACTTGCCGATTGGAACTCCTTGCCTTACGGTGATTGTTGATGTTATTACGTGTTTTGTGAAGTTCTCGGACTCTGTTGTTGGTTCCTTTGAAGGGGAGGCATGGTGTTTTCGATGGAGTGGCAGTTTGCTGCTAGTTGCGCCTCGTGGCACATGTCTTTCAGAGGAGTTCCTATGCTTGTGAGCTCGGCATGTGAATTCAGCAAGCACCCGACGTGGACCTACTTAAGCGCAAGCAAGCAAGCAAATAGTAGTTTCCATTTTCTTTTCCATTATCCCAATATAACCCCAATGTAACCCCAATATTCTGTCTACTTAAGGGGGGCTATATCTGTATGGACTCCCGAACCAAGGATGCAGCAGTGTTTTTGTCGGACCCCAAAATCATACCCTTGATTTTGGGAAACCCCATGTGTTTCTCAACTACGATGTCAGAACAATTACCATAAACAGGAGGACCCCAACATAGACCCCATAATGCTATAATCCTGGTGCTTGGGCTCCCAAAAAAAGTACCCCTAATTTTGGGAAACTCATAGGGAATGGAATAAAATCAACCCTGAACCCTAAACCTTTCTCGAAGGATCTCTGGACTTAGTAGGTCTTTTTGGTAACATGGGTTATTGGGCTTATAATAGGGGTTCTTGAGGATAGTAGGTAGCCTTATTGAGACAGAAGATCATCCAAGTTTGGCCCCTTGTTAGGGTTGAAGGGTTTGGGGTTGCATAGTTGCCGGCCTTGGTGTTCACAAAGGGGAGAGGAAGGGGGCCAATTCTTGTCCTCCTTTGTACATGATGAGTCGACAGATGTTGATGATATTCCACTTCTTGCTTCCAACGCTCCCATCCTACAAAAAGGTCCCCTCTCTGATGACAGCAGCGGTTGCTGCAAGGAAGCACGCCTGTTTTTTCGGCGATCTCTTTTTGCATAGATCCTTGGATGCCAGGAGAGACACTGTCAGCAACTTGAGTGCTGGGATGAGGACTTAGGGGTTTAGGGGTTTAGGGTTTAGGGTTTGGGGATCAGGACTTAGGGCTTATAGTCCCCCTCAAGTAGATAGAATATGGGGTATATAGTATATGGGGATCTTATTATAACATCTTATTATAATATACCCAAAACCATATTGCATCTACTTAAGGGGTTTAGGGTTGGAACTTCTAGTGCCGGATATTTTTGAAGCACTTTGCGGGTCTAGTAAAGTTTGTCTGCCGTTCAGTCATCTGTCTAGCTGCTCTCCAAATCTTTCTCCCATGATCCTTGAGAAGGACTGCCGTAAGCTTATTGTCATCTGCGCATGAGCTATAGTCTAAACTCCTAGTCTCCACCTTAAATAAGCCTTATAATGCTCTCCTGTGTAATCCCCTATAGAGCCCCCTTTAAGGAGTTGAGATTATAGCATATATGTCCCCAAAGCTTCGTGAGGAGCGTGGATGGGTTCCCGAGGTTGGGATAGGCCTGAGGTATGGGCACTTGGGTTTAGGATTCATTTGCGATACCATCTTCTATACTCAGAGAGATCACAAGGTGAGGTAAAGGAAGGTGGGGTAAATAAAGGAAATAAACACCAACATAATGGAGTCTACCATGGGGATGCCTTAGCCCACCTATAGTCCCCTTTAAGTAGATAGAATATGGCTTTGGGTATATTACAATAAGATCCCTATTCACCCCGCAGTCTAGCTACCTAAGGGGGGACGAATGGAGCTCCCTGATATATGGGTGGTTGTCAAAACTATTTTCCCTTTTTGGGTACCCTAAATATTAGGTGCTGTATTATAATAGGGACCCAAAAAGGGACCATAATTTTGACAACCACCCATATACACCACCAGCCACCACAGCCCTCTTAGACCAAGTTTCCACTTTTGCCGATGACCAGGCCGCAGGAAGAGAATGGCATGGCCACCTCAGTCTACTACCAGGATGGGCCATTAGACCTTAAAGGGCCTTTAACCTACCCTTACTCTGGTACTAATAGGGAAATTTAGGGTCTAATAGCCCATACTGGTAGGGGCTCAGAGGTTTAGGGGTTTGGGGGTTTTGGGGGTTTAGGGGTTCAGGGGTTTAAGGTTTAAGTGATTAGGGGTTTATAGGGGTTTAGAGGGCCGGGTTTACAGGGTGTAGGGTACTCTTTTTAGAGATCGTACAGGGCTGGTTTTGAGAAACTCCTGTATGCGAAGAGGGGCAAAAGACTGCAGCAGGACCCCCTGCTTGGGTGTAGGGCTTAGCGTTTAGGATTTGGGGCTTAGGGAAGTTACAATAACTTCAGATCCAGAAATGGCGGTTTCCCAAAAATGGGGGTACCTTTTTGGTGGTCCCCATAATAAGGACTACAATATTTTGGGTCTATGATGGGGTCCCCCTATTTCGGGAAACTACCAAATCTATTTTGGGACTGTATGTCCAGTGGTCTTTAATTTTCTCGCGAGAGGCACGCCCCACATGTACCTGCGTAAAATCTCTTAAGAAAGTCTGTAATCATCTAACTCCCTTCCCTAGCATTAACATGCTCTACTCCCCTAATATTAAATATTCCGATAGTGGTATACTATAAAATATGAGGATCATTTAATATTAGCGGGGTGGAGAGTTTTGAGCATCAGGGGAGGGGATTAGTTGCGAGAAGAACCGAATCTGGCTCTGAACGGCTTTCACACTGCCTCACCCAGGAACGGAAACTACAATGTGGAGTTTAGTGGTTATGTACGGTTTACGTGGGGATTACATAAGAACTATGCCGGGATTGATTCTTGACCCGGAATCCTCGAATGAGGACCACTTTTCCTTTCAACCTAGCCCGACTGAAATTCTAAGCAGCATAGAATTCCCACCTAAGCCCCCAAACAAGGTTACCAGATCATTCCCAAAAAATCGCTTAAATAATCCCCTCATGATCACCAAAAAATCCGCAAAAACAAGCTACACCCTCAACGCTAAATTGCAGTTTCAACTTCAATTTCTTGTCCATTTGATCTCCATTTTCCTATGTAACATCTATATGAGCTGCAGTCTAAAATCCTAGCATCCCCTTTAGCAACCCCCACACTACTGCCCATATAACCCTCTTTAAAGAGTTTAGACCCTAAACCCTAAATCTAAACCCTACATCCTAAACCCTATATAATCCCTTATATAACCCCCCAAAGGGATTTCCTCCGCACCCCTTTTTGCGGAGATGCGGCTTGTGCCAAGACCCTGGCAGGAAGATGCTCTAAATAAGTCAAATCTTTTGGGTTCCGGATTTGGGGTTTAGGGTTTAGGGTTTATGGTCCCCCTTAAGTAGATAGAATATGGCTTCAGGTATAATTATCATAATAAGATCCCCATATACCCCATATCCTATCTACTTAAGGGGGACTATAGGGCTTTAGGGTTCGGGGCTCACGGCTTTGGGCTTGCAGGACAGACAAACCGTAAGGCTCAATGTGGATGTCATTTACGGACCGTAGGGTCCAATGTACTGCAGGGAGGCCAAATAGCTACCAACAATATGTTGAGGCCTACTTGAGGTACCCCATACAGTAGTTATACAAAAAACTCTGGAACCAGGATTTTGGCAATTATCCAGCCTTCTACAGTAGACACCAAAAGTCCCGGGGAAACACCACTGCTCGGGACACAATCTGGCGTTTCTGTTCAAACTATCACGGCTGCAGATTACAAACGCTGGCAGCCTTCAAGGGACTCTTCCAACACCTTGTTAGAGGTAATGCAACAGAATACCATGTCATGCACAAGCTCCGTGAAAAACATGAAAGCACCAGAAATGCATGAGGACGCTGAGCGCCAACAGACCTGGACTTTCTGGCAGGAGCACCGGATTCCAACAGTCAAATGCTCCCGTTGGCTAGCAAATATGCGAGCTTCCCAAAATTAGGGGTATGCGTTTGCGGGTGGGCGTCATAGGGATTGTAATATTTTGGGGTCTATGTTGGGTCTCCCTAGTTTGAGAAACTACCATATCCGTGGTGCTAGGAGGTCAGAGGAGTGGGCACATGGTCCGCTTAGGTTTTGCGGGCGTTGCCGCGCTGCTTCTTGTGCACATGTTTAGAGACCGAGACATCACAGCGACATCTACCACATACTGCACACGCAATCTTTCCATCCTCAAAGAGAAAGGTGCACGTGCCTTTCACAAGGGCCAACAACACCCACCATGAAAAGCAGGGCTTAGGGCCCAAGACATAGGTGTCCCTTTAAAGGAGATATAGGGGGCATATAGGGATATACTGCGGGGGCCTATAGCCCCGACTCCACAAAGAAAATCCTATATGTCCGGAAATCCTACACTTTTGGCAGGAACCCTCCCTGTGGCGAAAATGTTTCATGATGGATACATTGTGACTTTCGCTAGGGCTCCCAGCTACCTAAATAGTAGGTTACTGGGCTATGTAACTATGAAATATATACAACCCAGAACCCATTATTTACGTAACTGGAATCTACTCTAATGCCCTTGACCTGATACTAACCCCTCCCTAATAAATGCCCACAATGTCATAGTATCAATATCAGCCATTGTCAATATTCTCCATATAATGAATGGACATGGGTTCCAATATTAAGGGCCCCCAAAGAGAGCTCTATGTCCACCCTTGATGGTCCCGTGGTAAGCCTAACGTTGACAGCAGCTCATACATTGTTGGGAATATTAACAAGTAGGGGCTGGGGGGCAACACCCTAAAATGCCCAAACCTCCCTAAACCCTGATCCCTACCCCTAACCCTGAATCTCATACTTAGACCCCTTGACACATCCATCCGGGCCTATCTTCAACCTCTCGGCCCTCTTTCTGGGCCTCAGGCAGTCGGATGCTGACTTGGAGGTTCGTGATTAAATCAGGGCTGTATAGGGCTTATTTGAGCCCTGGACTCAAGTTATAGTTATACTATCTTCCTGAAAGGTCCCTCCTCAAACCCCTATACATTCCCGTATAGGTTCGTGATTAAATAAGGGCTGTATAGGGCTTATTTGAGCCCTGGACTAAAGTTATAGTATCTTCCTGAAAGGTCCCTCCTCAAACCCCTATACATTCCCGTATAATTCCACCCAACCTAACTTTCATCCGTAGCTCATACATGGCTGGAGTGGGGTAGATTTTAAAGGAGTTAAGTTTATTTCTAGCCCGTTTGTACCGGTATGCAATACCCAATTAGAAGCCCCCTGATCTGCTTGGAACTGGGGTTTAAGTAGCCATGAACCTCCACCAAGTAGGTGCTGGTTTTTCAACCCAGAACCAGAAGTCCGCACCCAGTGGCAGCAGCGGATGTTTCCCAGGCCCGTTCTTTAAAACTTCCTGGCGTGTAAATGATGTTTTTGAATTTTTCGGGGGTAGACATACACTCTCTGAAACCACTTGAACTATATTGGTAGCATAGGATCCCCGTCAAGATGCTACTCAGGTGTAATGCCGCCGAACCGCTATCAACCTTTTATTTTCACGATGAATTGAGGATCTGTCACCAATTGAGGTCCATGCAGCTAGGGTTAAGTGTTTAGGGGTTTAGGGTTTCGGGGTCTGCTGTGAGTTACCGTGCAAGCAGTGATGGTTAGGTGTCAACGATCCTTCAAGCGCATGGCTGCATGCAAAGTGCTGCCATGGCTTGACTGTGGCTGGCCATCCAACACAGTCACCCACCCCACGCCGTCTAAGTCGGTCAAGCCATCCAAACCTTGTTTGGGACCTAAACTCAGTTAGGTCCATCTTGGTCAACAACACCACACATTTCTATAGCCAAGCTTCCGGTTGGCCCCGAAAGCAAGCCCAATAATACCCGGCATTGTAGGAGGGATGGAAATTTTTTTGCAAGGCCTGGGGGGCCTGGGAAGGCCCTTGGAGGCCCCAGGGCAGGAGCCTTTTTTTGGCGAGGCCCCCTCGCAAAGGAGGCCCTGCAAGCTTCGACTACAGCGTTTACGTTATTTAGGGTTTTACAAGGGACCAGTACTGGTCCACGCGGAGACCTGCTCCAGGTCCCTGGCCTCGTAAGTTCTACAGTACCCCTGGCTGTGGGAAGGCAGGCGAGCGGTTGGATCAACCTGCGCCATCGATGTCGAGGCACTTAAGCGCCGCCCACCGTCGAAGCTGGGCGGCCTATGCCATGAGTTTCGGGGGGTAAGGTTCACGGCCGATACTTAATCCCTGGCAGCTGCGGAAAAACAGCATGTAGTAGTTTCCATAAACAAGGCTTAGGGTTTAGGGTTTCCCAGTATAGACCACAAATTATTATCATCCACACGTTCCACCACCAACCTTACCCTGCCCTACCCCACCCTCCAATCCCGACCGTACCTGCCATTCCCTGGCCCTCCCTAGCTCGACTTACCCTGCGCAACCAAGTCCTACCCCACCGATACCCTATCCTACCCATTGTGAAACGGATGCGATGATGGGTGTAGAGGAGATGAAAAAGCAAATTCTTCAGATTGGGGAAGAGGTTTAGTAGTGCCCGTATTCACAAGCACACTCCCCTTAACTGGCACTAAGTTGAGCTTCCCACGGTTTGGGCTTGGGGTCCACAGCTTGACAACTTGGCTCCAAACGACAGCCAGCTGGGGTGTACTAAGCAAGTTTTGTTGCGGAGCTACTGAGTTCCCACGGTACGAACCCAAAGCAAGGAAGTAGGCTCAGCACTTTGTACTAGAGTGCTTGTGGATCCGTCATCTTTGTAACGCGATCGGTTCTCTTGTGCGGTGATCGGACCAAAAGCCCTTTCGTCAGCCTTGTCTTGAGACATTTCAGTAGCCTGCCCTATGGCGGTTAATACGCTAGCACTATTCTAGTATTCAATATTTCTACCCGTCCTGCTGCTGCTAGCACAGACAAATACAGGATGTATATTTACGTATCTGGGTACGTTCTAAGTCTTCCCAAGCCTGGAAGACAGCCGTCCGGGAACACTTCCTATTGTAAACCACCATTTGAGCCATCGTCTAAACTCCTAGTATCCCCCTTAATAACCCCTATAGTAGTTCCCTATATAATCCCCTATATAATGCCCTTTAAGGAGTTTAGACTATGGCTCAGTTGGGGTGTGGGGTGAGCTCGAGCAAGGTCACCATAATTGGCACAGTTGTGTTGAGCCCAGGCACCAGATGCCGTTCAGCATCCATGGAGGCTTCAATGACCTGACTTGACCCTAAACCCTAAACCTCAAACCCTATAAACCTTAAGCGGGTTTAGGGCTGTACTTAAGGCCCCTAATTCAGACTTACTTGTGAGGTCAGGGCGGGGCAGTAAGTATGTTTATAGCCCGCAGGAGCCGTTATCACGACCCCAGTATCACCCACTTGAAGATTTGGATGATCTTCTCAAATTAGTAAGTCTATAGCTTCCCTTAAGTAGATAGAATATGGGGTATATGGGGATCTTATTCTAATGTACCCAAAGCCATATTCTATCTACTTGAGGGGGACTATACCTACTATCCCCAGTAACCCCTATTCTAAGCCCCATAACCCATATTACTAAGTAGACGTACTAAGTAAAGAGGTCCTTCAAAGTACTTACTAGGTCCCTGGACCCTCCGAGTAAAGCTTCGAGGCTCCGAGAATTTCACTCCCTCAACCCTAGTCCCCCCTTAAGTGGTTTAGGGTTTTGGGGTTTTGGGTGTATAGTCCCCCCCAAGTATAAGCTAAAATCTCCCTCAAGTAGATAGAATATGGGTTATATGATTGGGGTAATATTGGGATAACGGAAAAGAAAATGGAAACTGCTATTTAGGGTTTGGGGTGTATAGTCCCTCTGTAAGTGTATAGAACTTGGAATAATGGAAAAGAAAATGGAAACTACTGTTTAGGGTTTGGGGTGTACAGTCCCCCGTTAAGTATATAGAATCTGGGATAATGGAAAAGAAAATGGAAACTACTATTTATGGTTTAGGGTGTAAAGTCCCCAACGCCCGATTGTCCCCCTGTAATGGAGAATCAAATGGAAAAGAACATGGAAAATGAAATGGAAACTAGGGGTTTAGGGTTTCAGGTTTAGGGTTAAGGGGTCTAGGGCTTAGGGTTTATAGTCCCCCTTAAATAGATATAGAATATGGGGTCATGGGGATCTTATGCTAATATACCCAAAACCATACTCTATCTACTTGAGGGGACTATAAACCCTAAACCCCTATACTTAGGTTTAGGGTCTGGCGTTGCTGAATGGGTGATGTGAGCTGAAGTGAAAAAACTCCCCGTATCCCTATTAATCACCCTTGTAACATCGGGTTTTGGGCTTAGGGTCTAAACGCCTAGTACCCCCCTTAATAATCCCTAATAGCCTAGAATACTCCACTATATAATCACCTATATAGCCCCCTTTAAGGAGTTTAGACTATAGCTCATGTGGAGATGGGTTGTGTGGCCTGTTGAAGGGATTCTACAGGAACCAGGATAGGGTTTCTTGCAGTTAGGGCCACCTGGCGCGTCAAGGAGCTAGAGGCCCTAAACCCTTTCAAACCCGTAATCCGAAGCCGTTATTTGGCCAGACGCCCACTCTTGCCCCTGCAGTAATACCAAAACGCGGCCGTGAATGACTGTTCCCAGTATGGTACCGGTATGAGGTCGGAGGACATAATACTATTGGATCCTAAGAACCCCCAATCCTATTCAAACGTATATATCCCATATGGTAGTACCTGTCTATAGTGAGGATTGCATTACCTTGTGATATATAAGAAGACCGGCATTTATGGAAATACCGGTTTTTGAGAACAGTTGACCAGGTCTGTAAGGGCACTACTGGGTTCTACTCAGCCTTAAACCCTGATCCCTCACATACTGCGCAAACCGAAACCTCAAGCAACTGAACCCTAACCCGAAACCCAAAACCTTTAAACCCCTAATCCCTAAAACCCAAAACCCAAACTCCGAAAGTACATCCCCCTAAACCCTAGACCCTAAACAAAGGAAGCAGCCAACAAGCAAGACTGATTGCGGGGAAGGGTGCTCCAGTGAGCACAGCTTCCACTGACTCCTAGGCCATGGCAGTTTTTGTGTTAAGAAAACATGTAGGGGCTGATGGACTGAGCATGGGGCATGGGATTTGGGGGTACAGTTTGTACAATTTATATCCCGCTCTTCCATCGCCACCTCTTCTCGCGCTGCGTGTCAAGCTCCAAAGGAAGGTGAGTGAAGATCATGTACGTGCCGTGTGGAATGACTCCATCTTATCGTTTGATGTTTCAGGCGAATTCTGTTCAACACTTCTGTATCAAGGCTTGTATTACCTTCAGCTTGAGAACTTAGTTTGATGCGTGACATCACTGCATAGGAGCACCTCCAAAGAAAGAGAAGCCCATGAAAAGAAAGACCGGGTTAGTGCTAAGAAGCTCAAAGCTGATCTTTGATTTCCCTTAAGTAGATCGAATATGGCTTTGGGTAACATTAGAATAAGATCCCCTATGTACTCCATATTCTATTTGCTGAACGGGGACTATACCCCTACAAGGGAAACCCATAAGTTCCTGATGTAAAACCCCCTCCTTTTAAGGCCTTAATATGAGGATCCCTACTATAATCCCCATCAAGGGGAGGGGTCTATTTATCAGGGGTTTGGGTTATTCAATATTGTGGGCACTTGAGTTCCTTATTACGCTGATAAGCCCACTGTCCAGTCTATTTTCCATGTGACCCTCTACTCTTGGATGGTAACGCAACCTACAGAGCCCCAAAAACTCTTCAAAGGGAACCCCTCAAATATTTGAATTCCCTAAACCCTAACTAGGGTAGGTTTGAGGGGCCCTGGAAAAAGTCCGTTTTTCTTAAAAATACTATATAGGAATTAAATGTAACAAAATGCAACGTTATTTTTCAAACCTACCCCTGCCAAACCCTGAACTCTTCCATGACGGCAAGCGGGGAAAGACCCTAAACCCTAAACCCTAGACCCTAAACCCCAAACCCTAAACCCTAGACCCTAGACCCTAAACCTCTCTCACCATATATATTTAAACCTTCACCTCATTC